AATGTAATCCGTCACACATACGAATTAATTTCCGCTTGGACTTTAATTATGAAAATAGTTTTAGTCATATGCAACCGATTCAGCCATGGTTTTGCTTTTTGAGTCAAAAGTTTATAACTGATTTTGAAGAGACTAACGGGAAGAACATGATATAGAGAACGACGTAACACTGTAAGGAATGAGGGATCCCATCATTTGCCTAAGAACAATGCTTCTCCAAATCTAGTTTGTGTTTGATTAAATTTATTCCGCAATCTAGGGCGGACAAAAGCAAGGACTGGGAGCATTACTCTTACGATGACAATGAGTGTAATAATATTGTACGTGGTATAGTTATTTGACATATTCATTATTATTATAAACTGTTTGTACATTGTGATCCATACCGACGACATTTATTAAAATATGATTGGAACAATGGTGGAATTAACTGTGTTACCAAATGTCACCGATTTGGTCGCATGAGACAGAACAATAGCAAGAACAGACCCCCTCGGCCGCTTCCATAGTATTGTGCAAACAATATAGTAAATGAATAAGTGTGTCATAATTAAGCAGACAAGTGAACTAGATTCAGGGGATAATTGTGAACAAAGAACAAATTGCATGATGACTAACGGTTTATTTGTCGTCAGCTTAATATTAATATTAAGTGTTTTATAATCCAAGTTGTCTAAATATACATAAGTAGATAAACAGCAACATACTGTATATAGCCGATAATTAGCGTATCGTTCTACATAACAGTTATGATATTTATTAATATAACAGTTTTGGTAAGGCATATTTTTATCGTTTTAGCCAAATATCGTTATATCCTGTCATCGGTTATATATGCATTTCCAGTACATTCTCCAAGCATGTTGATGCTAAGGCATACCAAGTTAAAGCCAATATTTAGGCCATTCTTGTTCGTTGCTTTATTCGTCAGTGATAATATGAGAGGACGCTGCCACTGAGATGTTGAACACTTTAGATTGGCCAATACTACACTTGTCTTTCTTCATGCATTCCAAGTCAACGAGTCGGGTTATTAACTTTACCTTTCCAATACCGCTTGCTATTTTTAAGCGCATAGTTAATAAATGAAATCGAATTAATTAGCAAAATATTTGTTCAAGAAAAACTTTTGATTAACAGCATCTGAGCTAAACCAAATATCGGTGGTGTTTAGTAATAATAATAATAATAATTAAAAATGAATTTTCATCTCTATTAACTAGATTATCGTTTTGCTGATTATCAAATCCCGCTTTGAATTTGGGTAGTTCATGTTGTTAGAGCAAATGATTAAATAATTAACGAAATTCTGGGCTTCGTGATTACTGTATATGACTAAATCAACACTTGATTTTTTAATTAGTCTAATTCTCGATCGTACCGGCGAATTAACTCGAGAACTTTGTTAGGACCTTTTATTATATTCGTCTTGCTTGCATTTTTTTGTTCATGAAGGGTGAAAGTGTTTGTCTTACTGTTACGAAACATCTTATACGCCTTTGTAATTTTATATAAATTCTATTCTAGCACAATAGGTTAGAGACAACTCAGAAATTACCTAATTAAAAGAAAGATAGAATAGTTGCAAATAAAAAAAGTCTTACGGGAAACCCACCAAATTAACACAACAACCCGCTATAACAATTTTAAATACCACGAGTCGCAGAAAGCAACTGCTAGTATTGAAGAGTGACTTAATTCAGCTGCTAAAAAGTTTTTACTAAAGGCCATAATGCAAAGAAAAAAGCTTATAAAGTCAAGAAAAAACATAGTTGTTGATATGCGACGTTAAAAATATTGAGTTTTTGTGTAGTTATTGTTATAGATAGTGATTGTTATAGGTTCAAGTATCAAAAGACTGAGACTCTAACAGACATGAATGTAACGAATCAGGGCCGTGTGACAGACACATCGTGTGACTAATGAGTATTAAAGTCAAGAAATTCAAGCTGTTTAAGCGATTTCCGTATTTACCGTTAATAAAGCCTGCAAAAAATACCCATTATTTCTTAGTAATCGACCAATATGTCCTCAGCAAGAAGTTCAAGAACAAGCGGTGTATATGGCGCATCTACTTCGGTAAGTACCTTTTTTTTTTGATCAGATTTGACATATTCTGCTTGCCTGCTTCTCCAACCTTTCTAATTCGTTACCAGGTGCTTTCCGTTTGTTATTAGGCGCCGCAATTTCGCAGAACATGGGATAGAGACGAATACGCTGCTAAAGCCCGTGAGCGGGCGAGACGTGAAGCACAAGCTGAATCCGACGAAGAACGCAAGCGCAAAGGTCTCAAGCCTAAACCTCGTGCTCCTTCTCCCGATTCTGCTCAGCCGAAAGAGTTTCTCCGCGCACGGTCAGAAAAGGTTGTTTTAGATGCGAATCTGAACCGGACACAAGTCGTACAGAGCACAAGCATCACCTCAAAGCAGCCAGGCTATTACTGTCAAGTTTGTGATTGTGTTGTTAAAGACAGCGTAAATTACTTAGATCATATTAATGGAAAGAAACGTGAGTAATGGATATTTTATACTAGAAATGGCTTGCTCAAATTTCAAAGTTGTAACCGTATTTCTTCGATTATAGATCAGAGAGCACTGGGTATGTCCATGAAAGTAGAACGAAGCACTATAGATCAAGTCAGATCCAAGTTGGCTAGCTTGAAAGCCAAGAAAGAACAAGCCTCTGAGACATACGGTAAGGGCAAACATGCGATTTTGGGGTAACTTTTTAATGCATGATTTACGGCAGGTTCTTCTTTACTAATATGTTCATTTAAAGACTTTGATGCTCGAATTGAGGAACTACAAAGACAAGAAGAGGAAGAGAAGCGACGTAAACGAGAAAAGAAAAAGTCAAAGAAAAATGGGAACAAGAAAGACAATAAGGATGAAAGCAATGTTGAGGATGAAGTTGATCCTGAAATGGCAGCAATGATGGGGTACGTATTAAATGCAACGACAATGGCGTGTATGAGGAGGAACTATGCTGTATTATTAATACCTGTTGTGATATGGTTCTATTTTGTAGTTTCTCCGGATTTGGCAACAGTAAAAAATAACCAGGACATGCTACCAAAAAACGGACAATCAGACACACAGATGTAATAGAAATTGTTTGCGATAACTCTTTTGGTTATACTACTATCATAAATAGAAATATTGCGAGTTGGGCAGCACTTTATTAACAACGGCAATCCTATGCTCCAAACCAGGCTGACAACTTTATCTTTAACGTATGTTTACCCGTTGCGATTAACCTTTGTAACTAATCTGCCATTAATTATTCAAGTAGTTAGCCAGCACATACCAAATCTTGCAATTATAGCTACAAAACTCTTGATTGTTGTCTGATTTGATGCACCGAACTGCATAAAGGATGTTAAAGAGGAAAGCCTGCAACATACTGGCTGGCTGTGAAGTGATCACAGTTTATTTATATTCATTATATTGCCTCTCTTTCTCATGTCAATAAGATCAATATACCATAAACTGCCATAAATAATACCAAAATACGTAAGCTTGCTAACGCTTGTACCTTGTAAATTTCAGTGTCGTGCGCCATAACAGTGACGTGATGAAACTAGACGCTGTCATATTAATGGCAACTTTCGTAGCCTAATAAGTGTTTCTTATTCCAATGGACCAGCATTTTCACTTCCGCTACTAATACTAATGTTGCATTTTATTTGATAGGAATCAATAAAATCTCCGTCTACTATCACCGACAATGGAATCCTTATTATCCTGCTATTACTATTCTTTGTCACCAACATTCGTGGATCTGGACTGATTATCAACAATTCACCTGCATTTCTACTTACAATGTTATGGTATATGTGTACTTAATATCATGTATTGATATTTTATACGCGCGTCAATGATAACTACAATAAACAAATATACGAGCACAGGATTCTTGGCTGTTGAGTTATTAGTGATTGACGACGAAGATCGAAGAATCAAGTTAATCGATATATGCAAATTCAATATTCTGTGCACAGATATCGACAACAATTATACTTAACAAATGTGTGAATCCATGAGCATCGGACGAAGATTGTTTTCGCGTGTTCGAAGAATCAAACGAATCGGTATATTCAAATTCAAATCATACGGTAAACGAAAAAAAAAAACCATCTAATCAATAGAAAATAAAAAAGCACAAATAGAAGAAATTAGAGAACATATCGGCAACAGTTATACTTAACAAATGTGTGAATTCCATGAGCATTAAATTCTTGGAGAATCAAGCGAATTGGTATGTGCAAAAATTCAAATCATACTTTGTAAATAAACAATATCTTATTAGTTAATATATTGCTATTCTCGAAAAGGAGTATAAGCTGTCATTAGACCCTGGGCTATTGGGTTTCTGGTGTCTGAGGTCTATTTGGCGCCAGGGGCAGACGCTAATAAAAGTCTACGGTCCATTTCCCTAATACTGAAGATATGGACTGGGAAGCTGGAGGATGTATTGTTCTTAACATTCGACTTGCTTGCAACCATGCACAGCTCCCAACAGAGGCAACATTGACTCTGTCATTAATAGGTTGTTCTACGCTCCAAGTAAGATTCTATTATTGGACTTTTATAGGCGACACATTTGAGAGTGCAAGCCTTCCTTCGACTTTCGAGACGAAAGTATAATCCTCGCCTATTTGTAATCGAATGCTGGTTGTATTGTAACGTTAACAGAGTTGTCTTTAGTGGCCGAGATTTGGTATCCTCAAAGAGCTGACTATAGTGAAAATAGTTACATGGTAAAAATTTTAGTTTTAAATTCATTGGCCTCACTCTTATTATTATGGAATGCCATAAACTCGTCTAGCATTTCCTCCATTCAAATGCGTCAAGCAGCTTGCGTCTAAAAAGGACACGAAAAAATCATTCAAATGCGTCTTCCTAAAATATCATATGAAATTAAATTCTTGGATTTAATTGGGCCGAAGAATTTGAAACATTGTCGATATACAACGCGGGGAAGTCAATAATTTATCAAATATGTCAGGCAAGGTACGGATGCATTCAGAAACTGAACAACAAAAATGTAGTCGTTTTCTCTCTCACCCGCGTGGTTTTAACTTCACAGCAAAATCTCGGAAGCTTCAAAAGTCTTGCACGCGGGATCATTGGTGCCAGTGCTTTCGTGCAAGAATCGAAGTCGAGTAAAGCTTCCCCGGCTGAACCAGTTAAGAGAAAACACCGTGTTAAATCGATTGGAGGACGTGAAGGTATGGTGGACGCGTATTCTTGGGTTGGTTTAGAGACAAAGGCTAGCTCGCCTTCCATTCAGGCATAAATGTAATGTAAACTATGCGACTTGGAGCCTCTTCACCTAAATCTTTTGAACGCGCGTTTTCAGAATTAATAATAGGCTCTTTGCCGACGCAATTGCAAGAGTATGCCATAATTGAAGATTTATTATTTGTAATGATGGTATGTATTGTGAAATTTTTATTGACGCCTATTGGTAGTCACAAATTGGCCTTTCTAAAGAAGTTATTTTGAAAGGGTATCGAGGGAAAATATATTGGAGTTAATAAAGCAGATGGTCTTACTGAAGAAATACGGTACATTGAAGGGATCGACTATGTTGTTGATTCGACATTAGGTACCTGCCTTGTTCTCGTGTGCTTTGTTTTCTTTAACATGTCACTAAAAAGTTTAATTAACTTACAGATCCATCACTAAAGGACCTTGCCGAACGTATTCTTCCGCTGGCGACTTACTATACTGCAATTGGAGCTTTTGTTGAGACGTATTCCGAGATGAAATATGGATTTGTTAATCATGCTTTATGTGGTGCAATACGCGAATTATTAAAAGTGTGCCTTTAGTCTTTGCACATCTTTCGGTTTTCCCAATGATACCAATTTCTAATCACGCCCTTATAAATCGCTCGTCCATTTTGTTTAGGAATACTTAATCCTTATAACACAATTGGAACACCAATTCCGTACTTCTTCTTCGTTCACATTGCAGAAGTTCTGGTTTTATGTTCACCCAACTCTTCATACAATGTCCAATATTCACTCATTAGTCATGGAGATACGCGATAACTATCAAGAGTCAATGGAAGATGACGATAGTATCAATGGATATGACGAATTATTGAATAGTGACGGTTTCAGTAAAAAGAATTCTATCCCACAACAAGTCAAAGGAGGAGGAATATTGTCTATTCTTTCGTACCGGATGAGTCAGATGAGTGGGTAAGTCTATTAAAAAAATTATGAGAATAGTTGTGTCGTTCTTTCTCAATTCGTTGTTGCTGTAGTCATTCTTATCATTGATTTTGATCGTCCGATATATTCTTATGAAACAAAGCGAAACTTTTTCTATTTTGGTTCCTATCTTCAAGTGACCCAGATACCAAAAAACTCTACGTGTACTTACTCTCAAAAGCATCCAAACCATACATTTCAATGATGCACACTTGGATCCATCATGGCGAGATACGTGATCCATATGATGAATTTATGATTCAGGAACGGAAGAACGTGAAAAAAGAGCATCTGAAGGAAGACTTTAATGACACATATTGGGAGATGCGGTATACTATACGGGAGAATACAGTACCCCCATTCTTGATACCGTTTCAGAAGAAAATATTGTTGGCAGGGAAATATTTGAACGTGATTAGAGAGTGTGGAATAGCTATCGAGGAGCCAAGAAAGAAGACGATCGACGAAAGTGTCGCGGAAAGTAAGGCGGATAGAACAGACGTTAATATGAATAGTGATGTGCTTTTGGCTATGGATGGTGGCAGGTGAGGATCGAATTGTTGTTGTGGCTTTTGATTTATTAGCTAACCTTATCTTTGGTAACGCAGGTTTGTTGAGAATATCGAGATTGCATATAAACGCGCGAATAGAACTTTACTAGATCTGCTTTTAAAAGATCAGCAATTACTTGCTCGACTGAGGTACCAATAACTTAATCTACATGATTATTTTCAAAGTTTCCATCAATTTTATTCACATTTTGATTTCCTTTTATTCTTCAAAAATCTTATTAATCTCTCGTTTTCCATAATGTTTATTCCAAACCATTGACTCAGATCAATCAAACGCTACTTCTTCCTTGACCAATCTGACTTTTTTACACATTTTCTCGACCTTGCCTGGTCTGAATTAAAAAAACCTTCCACTCAAGTCTCCATAACAAAACTCCAATCCCTTCTTGATCTTGTATTACGCAATCCGTCATCTGTTGCTTATGCAGATCCATTTAAGGAGGATGTGAAAGTTGAAATGAGTTCGGTTGGATTGGTGGAACAACTGTTGAGAATTATTAATGTTGAGCCGACAGCAATGACAAGAGGAGGTCGTGCGGCTGAAGACTTGGGAGGAAGGAGAGGAGAGGAGAGCGATGGAGAGGGTTTGGATGAGGGGGGTGGAGAGAGGCAAACGTACGCGCCAAGTGTTATTGGGAGTATAATAGGAAGCATTACGGGAACTTTGGTTGGTGGACATTCGACTGGTGGAGGAAAGCAGTTGACAGGTTGGTTACGTGGCAGAGGGTAAAAAGCGAAAATGGTGGGAAAGATGGAAGAAAACTGAGACGACATAAATTAAGTGTGAATAATCACAGTGAACCAACCAAGACAGAAAGATTTTAGTCGTTGTCTTTTTCTACTTCTGTCATTTTATCTAATATTGCTTTTTTCTCTCTCTTTATATCACTAGGCATTGAAGCTTTGTCGCTTGACTATGTTGTAACCTTTCCATTATCACTGGTTATCTCCCGCAAAGCGCTCACAAAATACCAACTTCTCTTCCGTCATCTTCTCTACCTCAAATACGTTGAGCAGCTACTTTGCAACATCTGGACTGAACATTTCAAGTCATTCCATTGGCGAGAGGAATCTGGACACCCTTCAATTACCGCTTGGAAGAATCGCATGTACGCGTTGAGACAGAGAATGCTGGTATTTATACAGCAATTTTCGTATTATGTTACGAATGAAGTATTAGAACGACAGTGGAGAATATTGCAGAGTAATTTGGCCAAGGTTTGTCTGAAGAAGATGGATCTCGTTTATTTTTAGGTGATTACGATTCTGACTTGCGTGGATTTTAGTTGTCTACTGTTGATCAGGTGCTAGAGTATCATACGGATTTCCTTGATACGTGTCTCAAAGAGTGTATGCTTACGAATGCGAAGCTATTGAGGGTAAACGTGTTTTCTATCAATTTATGTTTTGCTGCGCAATACTGGCTAACATGCTGTCACTCTCGTTACTAGATTTTTGCTAAGCTTACGCACACTTGTGTTTTGTTTGCAAACTATACTGAGAAATTCAGAAAGTCCTTAATGGTACTTAAATCACAGTCAGATGGAAATAATAGTGGGCCCGTTTCTCTTGAACAGCAAGAAAAAACACTTCACAAGTTTGAAGATAATTTCTTATACCATATCAAACTTTTGATTGAAGCGTTAAACTTCTATTCAGCCACTGAAACGGTTCAGTTCTTGTGTCTTGTAGTCAGATTAGACTACAATCTTTATTACTACAACCAACCGAGTAAAAGATGACACAAGGAAACGTTCGCAAAATCAATCATAAAGTCTGCTTGATAATGTTAACTTTGACATTTCATGCTTCATTGTAAATAGCCAAAATCTTTCCCATATCATTCTGTATGACAGATATTTTAAAAACTAAGCTATTCCCGGAAGTTAATTTTTTTTGTTCAATAAATGCATGTTTTCAATGTTCGTAATATTAATACGGATGTCACGCTGTCGGGAACAATGCAACTTTTGTTGGAAGTGTACCTATAAAGAGGTTTTTTATATGGTGTGCTTATGGAGGGGGTGACTATGGAGGGGGACGACTGTATATAGTCATAGGTGCAAAAATGACTGAAATGGCCGGGTATAATTAATGTCCAATATGTATTATCGTTTATTATGAATGATAGACTGATATTAATATTAGTATTAGTACAGATTCTAGAATCCAAAGAATAAGCCGAAGATGATGTTATTTAGCAAACTACCTCCGCTTATTATTATATGTAAATTGGCATGGATTAAATAAATTGAGCGCGTTGGTATCGTTCACCCCGTCATCGAATCTTAAAGCGGTGATTGCCATCAGTGTTTGGCGCAAGAATGCTTGGAGAAAAGGAAGAAAAACTATAATGCTATCACATTTTGCCGGGTGAAAAGTGGGACTATATATGTCTTAGTAATACTATACTTCCATATTTGAACCCTTCGAACAATCATAATTTTCGCGATGTATGTTCCTTCGTTATAATCCATCACTGGGTCAGATGATGGATATGCCCAAATCTGGCGCCTATAAAAATCAATAGGTAAATACAAAATTATCTACAATAGTAACAAAGACTTCAAGAATTTGACTTACAAAGTTTCTAGCACGCTGAGCGCTGCCTCAGCCTGCAGCTGGACTCTAGCAGGTTCGTCATCCACATCCATTGGCACAGTGACAGATTTGATTCTTTTAACCACACCACAATCTACTGAATTGCGGCAGTTATCAACCAATTTCTGACACATTGTAGTTACAGCGTCATGTATAGTAATATCCAAAGATGCATATTCTTTGGGTGGATGACTGAGATAGCTTGCATCTTGATCCCTGGCAAGCATTTTTATCCAAAGACCATCTAACCCGCTCGTATCGAGAACGCCATATGTAATGGCTCGTAATGGATGAATTCTGTCTGTCTGTATCGACATCTCGGAAAGTTCCCTTTCAAAGATTGACAGCGAAATAAACTGCCTATAAAATTGTTTACTTATAAGTAATGTTTTGTAAACGTACAATCAGTTTGAAATCTATTACTTACCAAATGCCTCCTTATCGTTTCTATAAGTTGGACAGTTTGGCCATTATCAATATCTTCATGATGGTCTTTTTTATTTTTATTTTTGGACTCTTTCGTTAACTATAATAATGATAAAATCAATAAATAATCAATTCTTAATGATAACAGATTTTATTATTGATACTCACCGCTTTAACGGCCCGTTTCAAAATACTATCCGCTCTAACCTAAAAAAGAAAGCATATACACTACCTGGACAAAAGTATTGGCCACCCTAACTTTATTAATTGTTCAAAAGTGTACATAATAATTGGGACTAAAATTTTTATATGCTATAGTCTAACTTGTTATGAATCTATATATAAAATTAATACTTTGTTGGCCAGCCCTTGCTTGCAATACATGCTTCGACCCTTCTAGGCATACTTTTAATTAAATTCAT